TTTGCATGATATAATAGAAGCGAGCTGCTTAAGTATTACCACCCAAGAAGAGATAGAATACTACTGAAGTATTACCTGACCAAGAGTATTCCTAAAAGATAGCAGGGAAGGGAAATCTCTGGTGGATAGAACTTTAAACAGTTGATAATACTGGTTAAGGAGCAATGGCTGGAGGTGTTGATGTACATCACTGCATGGACAATGGTTAAGAACTTGGCCAAATAGTCAAACTTGGAAGAAAAAGATTAGAAAGTTGGTGACAGGATGTATAAAGCAGAAGTATTTGGATGACTTTCACAGAATCAAAACAGAATGTGAGATTTGTGTTTTATGTGAATGCTCACCAAAGAGAATTTATTCCAGAAGAAGAAATAATCAGGTAAGCAGGATGCCCGATTCTATAAATGTTACCATCTTTTCAGAGCGACCCCAGGGCTTACACAACGAACACATAAACACAGTGTCTTCAGACAGGGATGGCTTTAACAACAAGCACTTCTGTTCATCAGGCTGATTTGACTATCACCATTGCTTAGTAATTTGTAAACAGTTCAGCCCTGAGCCCTGGATATGGCCCTGTGTCCCAGAGCAGCCAGTCAACCACTTGGTGGCAGGTCGATTACATTGGATCCCCTCCGTTGTGGAAGGTCAGTGGCTTAGCTTCATTGCTATGAATGCTTGCTTTCGCTATGGATTTGCATTTCCTGCCCATGATGTTTCTGCCAACACTACCATCTGTGGTCCTACTAAATGTCTTTTCAGTGAATTTACCTCCTATATAACACTGCCTTTGATCAAGGGGCTCATTTACATAATAAAAGTGAGGCAATTGGCTTATGACTATGGATTCACTGGTCTTACTATGTTTCCTATTTTATTACATTGCAGTCCACCTGGGAAACTATATCTTGTGATATTAGTTTTTAGTTTCATAAACATAATACGTGGGTCTATGAACTGAGAAGTGAAAGTAGAAGTGTCATCTCTTCATCTGTTGTGACCCACTTGTAATGTTTTTGCTTCCTGCCTCTACAACTTTGAATTCTGCTGATTTAGAGGCTTTAGTGTGGGAGAGGAATACTTTCACATAGATGGATATCATTGTTTTTTATATGGCCTAAGGTTAACACTACCCTTTTATTTACTCATCAAATATTTGGTCATCTATTCTGTGCCCTTCACTATGGAGATAGAATATGGAATAAAATCCTGGAGAGCTTTTGGTCCAATGTGGGAGTACAACTAATAAATAGATATAATTATAACAGCATAAGTAACAAGATTGGGATCTGTATGGACCTGTAAGAACAAATAAGGGGGAACTAACCCAGCTAAAGTCACAAAGCCAAAGAGGCCATGGTTGGCTTCCCCAGGGAAGTGATGACTAAGGTGAGAGCAACACAAAGAGTAGAGGTTAATTGGACAAAGTGGCTATGGTCGTGGAAAATGTAGGTGGGAAGATGGATGGAAGGGCAGGTGCAAGGACACTGTGGTAGAGCATGGTGAGGTCAAAGAATTGAATGAAGTAGGAGGATGGGGAAGGAGCATGAAGAACAGAAGGTTGGAGACTCTTTAATTATATCTCTTTATTTCACCTAATTAAGAGCATGTTTAAAAATCCTGCTTTATTCAATAGGATACTCCTTTCTGATCGCTAATGATATATCGCTACCTAGTTTATATATACTTAGACTCTAGCTTCATAATTATATTAAGTGCGCCCAAAAGGAAAAGAAAAATGAGAATGAATACATTCTCTGGTGAAAAATTGGTTTTGCTGATTTGTGTTTAAAATACTTCAATTTCCAGAACATGTAAGGAATGGAGTATTCTGATGAATTTATTTAGTTATCATTGCTATTGTTGGCAAACTGAAACTTAGGAATAAAATCCTTTTGTTTAAATCTTTTTGAAAAAATCTTAAAAATAATTTTAGCCCTCTTTCCTTCCTTATTTAGGGTATTATTTCACAAAGGTTAGATGGAACATAGAGAATGCACTCTCAGATACATGTATTTAAAGGTTACAGGTTTTCGACACAATGTATTTATCCTCACAAGCCCCAGATACTATTTCTCATTTCCACAAACTTCTATTTTTTCATGGTCATAATGTAGAAAAAGGGAGAAATACAAGTTGGTTTTTATGATGACATTTGGGGATTGCCATATGGTGCCTAGATGTATTCTTTACTGGGACTGAACCTGGTTGAGAAATGAAGCAGTGTCTTTTGATAACTTTACCAGGTATGATAAACTTAATTTTGATATTTAATCTTACTGTTGGAGTCCAGGGCTTAGAACAAAGTTTTTGTCCTTGTCATATTTTCAATAAATGTGAACCCTAGATTTATGTGCTTAGTCCTCCTGTGTAAAGGACATCAGTGCTGTCCTTTACGGCATTTTTTTTTTTTTTTTTTAAATATCTGCTTTAGAATCACACATCGTATTTAGTTTCCTCTCTTTAATCTCCTTCATCTGGATTAGGTCCTGTGCCTTTCTCTATCTTTCATGGCCTTGACATTTTTTAAATTAAGTTTAAGGCAGTTGTTTTGAAAATGCCCTTCAATTTGTATTTGAGTGTTTCGTTGTTATGTTAGATCCACATTACGAACTTTGGGCAGGAATACCACAAAAGCATTGGTGTGTTCTTCTCAGTATCATGAGGCATATACATCTGTTTGTACCACTAAGCGTGTTGTTAACTTTGATCGCTTGACTAAGGTGGTGTTTGCCATATTTCCCCACTGTAAATGGGAAATTTTTACCCTTTTGTAATGAGAGCAATAAAGAGGGACAGTGTTTAAGAATAAGTAAATATTTTGTTCCCCCAAATGACTGTCACTGGTGGTTTTAGCCTCTCTTGCTGATTGTTGCCTGAATCCATTATTATGATGATGGTTGAAAATAGTGATTTCTCTAACTCTTTTGTAATTTCTTCCATATTTCTTAGTTGTCATTCTACTATCAGACTATTTTCCCTTCTCTCCCTTAGTATGATATTTTACTGCCTTTATTCCATTTTGTATTGTCCCTGGTTTAGCCAGTGGAAGTCTCAAGATACTGGTTATTCTATCAGGATTTTTTTTTTTTTTTGTATAAATGATACAAGAGATAGTTAATAGAGGCATATAGAAAGTGAGAATGAGAAGCCAGAGGATTAATTCTATTGGTAATTGAGAAACGTTTCGGTGAAGAAGTGGTATTTGAAATGAGCTTTGAAAAAGTGGTAAAATTTAAGAGAAATGATGATAAGATGGAGTGGAAAGGAAAAACCTTCTGAACAATAACAACAAAAAGCCTGGTATTTGGCAAGTACATAATACAGTGGGTCCAAAACATGATGAGAAGGCTGAAATGGAGGAGCAAATCTCTGTACTTAGTGTTGTGCATTTGCAATGTTGGTCTCACTGCTTAGAATTTCACCCCACCCCTGCTCTTTTGCTAAGGGGTAGGATAAGGTGTGAGGAAGGAGGGAATTCTATGTAGTGAAAACAGCATGAGCCAAAACCCCTACTCAAATACTCTCTTTTCCAGGAAGCCTTTTCCATATTCCTAATAAGAATTAACCACCCTCCTCTTTTACACTCCTATGGCATTTTGTGCTTCTCTGTTAACAGGTCTATTCTGTCTTGTGCTGTTTCTTTTTCTGGATGCATCTTCCTCTTTTAAAGCATGTACCATATCTTAGTTGCTTTGCCCCTCTTTCCAGCACCCAGCACAAATGCTCAGTAAATGTTTCTTACCATGTGTGAAAGAGAAAAGAGGGAGGCAAATAGGTTGGAGTTTGTTGGAGGAGGGCTCTGAATGTCGTCTTAAGGTGTTCGGGCTTGCTTTACAGGAAGCAATGAGCCATGGCATCCCTGAACAATGCAGGGATGATCAGAGCTGGGATGGAAGGAGGAGAACATCGAAGTGCCCATGCAGTGGGACCCTAGGGGCAATTACAGAGAATGTAGGGATAATTCTATCACTTTCTCATCCAAAACTCTCTCTGAATTCAAAACAGCCTGTGCTATCAAAAGAAGATTTAATTACATCAAATATGATGAGAAATGGAATATTGTCTCTACTTGAGGCACAAAAAACTGACTTTGGTGGAGACATTTTTAAAATTAAAAATGGCCATTAGTGACTTGCTTTTTTTAACCTTGAATAGTGGCCATGTGAGAGCAGCTTACCATGAAATGGTCGTCAGCTTTCTTTTGGCTCCTCTGTCCCTCTTGCTCCTTCCTAACAACAGAAAATTCGCTTTGCACCTGCTCCAACTGGGTTCTAAGTGATAAACATCTTGCAAGCCCAGAAAATTGTAGTATCAAATCTCAGCCGCAACTGTGAGGCAGCACTATCCTTGAATCCCCGCTGAGAGGCGTTGCTTTCCTAATTCCCAAGGGAAGAGTCCTTTCTCCCCTGGCCCCCTTTCAGGCCTGAACTTCGACCTAAACCCTCTTTTTAGCCCCCAACATGCATTGCTCTGGCTGCTGGCCCTGACCGAGCCCTGCGTGTGCTCTCCTCCACCCTAGGTTCATCCTGGGGTCAGACCTGGATGGCCCTGAGGTCACTGGAGTACCCAATTCCAATAATGAGCATATTTATCCAAGAGAGGAAATGGAATTTTCTATTTGTTACAGTCCATTGCTTTTCTCCTTAGAAACAAATGCTAAAGGAACATGTGGTATATTATTTATGATTTGGTAAATATATATATATAAACATTGCCTAATATTTACAAAGTTTTATTCATTAACATCTTCCTTCTTAAGTGCTTTGTTATATAACTAATGATATGTTAAGAGGGACATTCCTATTTCACTGCTAGGAAATGTAAATGTTTTAATATAATGCCATGTTCAGGAAAACTCTTGTAAGAATATCAAATAAAAATAGCAAATATTTAAATAGGTATATAACATTCTAACTGGACTGAATATATGGTTTTAAAGGGAAAGAAAAAAATGCTGGCAGAGACTTTAGAACTTTGTCTTTATGCTTGCCTCTTAGGTTTTTCAAACAGACCAAAGTCATTAAAAATACTCCTTAACCCCCAAAGCCACAAAAAAGAAGCTACCCAGATCTATTATGAGAAGGTTGAACCACTGTTGAAGATTGCAGAAATAAAGACTGATGTAACAAGTAAGTCATTTTTAGAATATAATTTTGCTATTTAAGAAATACACTTAAGGAAGCAAATAACCCGAATTTGTTCTTAATCCAAATTTAGGAAGCTACTTTTCATATTTAAAGTTTTTTTTTTATGTGCTTCCATAACCTCTGCTGCAGCCAGCTCCATGATTATAATTTAATTATTTTGTTTTCCTTTTTATTATATTATTTTTATTAGAATATCAGTATTTTCTCTTTAGACCTTTTTTCAGACTTTAAAAATAATTTGGTATCATTTTAAAGGAAGCTGCACATTTTTTGATATCTTTATTGACATGTTTGCAATTTACACATTATTTCTGCAGTTTGGCAAGCAATTGATTTTTGCTCACTTAAATGTTTGATGTCTTTCCATGGAATCCTTCATTAGGTGGTTTTTGTTCTGACTCTGACCCCTGCTGGTTAGGTCAAAACTAAGCAGTTAAGTTGGTCTTAGGTGAATTTAGAGAAGCCATAAGCTTAAATTCATTGTCTAAAATAAGAAAGGTGCTTAGGTTTGTGCCCAGGAAAATAGAAATTTGCTAATGCTGAAATTAATAGAAAGAAGATTAGTAAAATCCTTTTCAACTTTTTGAATTTGGTGACCAAATTCCTTTGTCTCCTTGAGACTTTTTTCCCATGGAGAGGTGGACCAAGAAGGAGGGTTGATGCTATTGAGAATCACACCCCCAATTTTCCTGGTTTTATTTCTATGTAGCTTCACTAACATGCAGTGTAAATTTATAGTAAATTTTAATTGATGAAAAGTACTGAATAATAAGCCTACTTAGACAAGGCCAGAATGCACTTTGAATCTCCTAGTCCCAATCATAGGTTCCTGGGGAAGGGATTCAGAGTGGCTTGGCTTTGCTCAACTGTAACCACAGTAGAGGGGTCTCGCAATGTTACTGAGTTTAGTGAAGCCCACACCCCCTGGCTTGATAATGGGGGTAGAATGAAGTTCCTACAAAAAAAATAATAAATTTTAAGAAGGCAGTTTTTGTGGGAAGGCCAGCCATTCCAAAAGGCATCTACTATAATGGAGGTTCAAGAGAACTACCATGAAAAACTCAAGAGGAATTTCCAAATTAAAATAAAATCGTAGCGAAGAAGTTAACCTTTCATCTTTGTGGCTTTTGGCTTACTTAAAAGTGATTTATAAGAAAAAGAAACAATTCAGATCTGTCATTCTTTACCACCGAATATTTTCCAAGACTGGCAGAAGGAAAAGTTTGAAATTCATATTAGGGTGATACAATTTAAAGGGAGAAATAAACTTATTGGCAAACTCAATAACATTATTTCGTTTCATTGATTTAATGTCCACGTAAAACTACAGTTCAAGAAGCTCTTGCTGAATGCTTTGTATTAAACATTATGGAGAATGTAAGATGAATAAGGTGTACTGCCTGCTTTTGGGTGACCATTAGTTTATTACGGATTCAAATAGATGTTTACAATAAGTGTAATTTGAATATACAGAAAAGAACTAGGTGTCTCAGAGGGTGATATTAATTTTGACCAGAGGCTCATGGAAAGTATTTGAATAGGACATTAGAATTGGACAGTTTTGGAGAGTCAGAGAAGGCAAAATGGTTTTCTGTGCATAAGTAGCAGAAGAAAAGCAAGAGAAGGAAAGCAAGCTAGCAGGCACATACAGGTGTGGTGTGTGTGTGTTGCATCCACAATATCTTGGGAGTTCTTTCATAACTTTGCTCTGCCTTCCTCAGTTTTGACTTCATCTTAAATCTGGCCCTTTCTGTCATCATAAAATGGTTGCCAGTGTATTGGATCCTTTTTAATTCAAATCTAGTGGAATGGGGTGGGTTGTGTGTATGTGAGAGATCCAACATGTTTAATCTTGAACAAGGATTAAAGTGTCTTCCTTTGAGTTTGACTCTTTGTACGTAGTATGTGTACCCAACTTGGAGCAATCACTCTTAACCATCAAAACACTTCCCATGGACTGAGTGTGGGACCTTCTTTACCTAAAGGCTGAGAAGTCCTGAACTGATTCTGGGTTCTGTTAGGGAGAAAGAAAGGCTAATTGGCTTCTGGGAAAGATCTCAGCAATATACAGTAGAGAAAGTTTGAGTCCAGATTATGGATGGATCTCTATGCTACTCTCAGGAGTTTACTCATCGTGTATTGATCTAGAGTTGGCATACATTTTTTATCATAGTGTTGTAATCTGGTTTAGCAAAGATGATTCTGCCAGCAGAATAGAGATTATAAAGGAAGAGAGAGAGATTGGAGGATAGGAAACTTGTAGAGGTCTGACCTAAGGCAAAGGTAATAAGAATGTGTTTTCCTTCTAAAAACAGTTGTATTGGAGAGAAAAAGTACGTTCTAGGGCTTTCCCCCCTAAATTCGTAAATGTTGTTGAATATTATATTTAGTTTAACATAAAATAAAATTAGAATATTACATAAAGCAAATTTAGAATTTACTTATGTATTTGTGCAGAATGGCTAATTATTAGCTGCCTAACACTCCTCCTACAGGCAAAATTATAAAATTGCATCTTTTGTTTATGAAACCATTTTACTATATCTATTAGCTAAATATTTAGATAAAATGTTTCCTATTTTGTGTGAAGGACTGAATAAACATGTGGATACTTGAAAAGTTTTGGAATCTTCCTGCCTGTTCTCACAGTGTAGTTTTGTAGTTTGAATAAGTAATACATTTGAAACTACCTTTTATATTACAAAGTACTAAAGAAATATAGTTATAACTCTGTACATTTCAGCTTTATGAAATTATATAATAGTAAGATTTATACTTCCTTTGAAAGAGAAAATATCTTATTTGAAAGAATAAAGTAGAAAGAGTACATATTTGGGATGTCCAGTATGACTATTGTTTCAATGTATCTTGTGTACATTGCCGAGTCCAAATGGAATTTGATTACATAATAAATTCTATACAATAATTAATTCATTAGAAAATAGTGCTATATAAATGAGGCATGAAAAATTATAGCTAGATATATTTATTATAAAGTATTTTTTCTATAAATTTTGTTTAAAAATGAATCTCCCCACATTAATAAAAATACACTCCTTTCATTTCAGAGTAACTGGTTCTGAATATACATCAGCATCTTTAGACATCGATGAGCTGAAGTTGCATTCTACCCTCCCCCCTCTATTGCCAGTGCGGTATCTTGTTTCATAATGGTTCAGAAAAATTTCTAGAAGAAACTAGAACTGAATTATTTTTCTTTTTAACTTGTTGGTATATAAATTAAAGGCATGAGTCGTAAGCCCGTGCTTGCATTATAGCTGGATATTATTTCTTTCTCTTCCTGCTCAAACAGAACAAACTTTAGGATGTAATAAAAAGAACCTTTAATTACACCATTAAAGGCATAAAGAATTTTGAGGCATCATAGATTCACAGAATTATTCAAAGAACAATAAAGTGAAAAAGTCAAGGCAGCAGAGAAACCAAACTGAAAAGAACTTTAGAGGCCATCTAGTTCAATTTCCCGCATGCTACGAGTGTAGATATGTGGCATTCCTCGTGGATGACCCACCCAGCCTTAGCTTGGGCATGCTCTGGTTCAGTCAGTGTCTACCAGTATTGTCCAGAATACTGGTAGACATTCTTATCTTGAGTTTGCCTTTGTGTAGATTAGAAAAGGACACCTCCTTTGTCCTGAATTACAAAAGGATGCATTTCTGGGCTGATTCAGCCCAAGGTCACCTAGCAAATTGGATATGTATACTGGATGGATTGCAAACTTACCTGCCTCCTTGGTCAAATGCCTTTGTGCAAGACATAAACTGTACAATGTGGAGAATTTGTGAGCTGACATTTGCCTCCTTGTAATTTTAGTCTGCTAGAATTAATGTTATCTTTTACAGTAATGCAAAATAAATGGAATAAATCTGTCTCGTCTTTTGTATAAGAGTCATTGAGATACTTGAGATATAATGACTATTCTTGATCTCTCTTGTTTGTGATAGGCAATTCCATTTCCTTCAGACAGTCTTTGTATTAAAGCTGCTAAACCTTATCATGCTTATCATTATCATGGTCAAAGACACTTCCCTGAATGCAACTTTGGTCATTGCCAGCTCAGGGAGTTCCTAGTCATCAGAAAATTTTTACTTCCTGGCTGGCCCTGAGCAGACTTGTCAAGAAAGTGAGGTTTGTTGTGACTTTCTTCTTTTTTCTTTCTCTAGCATCATGGTCTAGCTTTTGGCACTTTTACCAAATCTCGTATTTGAATTACTTCTTTTTGGCTCTTTGTGTCTCTCCTTGAAGCCTTCTCTTCCTTGGAGATCCCTCTTATAATCCCTGATCTTGACCAGCACAAAGCTAGGCAGTTTGATGGAACTTGGTCAGAAAAGGTACTAGTAGGCTGAGGCATTACTCCCTTCCAATATTACCTGCATTTTATTAAAAATTCAGATAGTAAATGTTCTTGCAGTATAGCCAGCTAGAGAGAGAAAATTCTGAGCAAAAGGTTCTTTTTATTACCTCTTAAATTGTGTGGGTGTATATGGCCAATCCTGTTTCAATAATCAGATGTTGGGGAGCTGAAACTTTATCCCTGGGGACAGTGAAGAGTCATGAATGGAGTTTATATAGGGAAGAAATAAAATATGTGTTCGAGAAAGATCATTCTGGCTAGCATGAGATAAAGTTGAAGAGAGACTGGAAAAGAGACCGTTATAACACAAAGATGGTGATGACTATGTCTAGGGTACTGGACTGAGAAATGTTAGGATGCTGCAGCATAATCAAAGACAGAAACAACTGGCCTTGGCCATGGAGTGGTAGTGGAGAGTGAAGAAGAGGGATAATCTAGGAAGAAGTCTTTTTTTTTTTTTTGTCTTGAGCAGTGGGGAGTGGATTATGGAACACAAACAGAATAATATATTTGAGGGAAAATATATTTAACGGTGGAAACTATCAATAGATTCCTTTTTGAGCTTACTCTATTTGAAGCACCTATAGGACAGGGAGGTAAATGACATTTCAGTGTCTTATCCAATTATAGAACTTTATCACTGGACCAGAAAATGTTTCCTTAAGTCCAAATAAAATCATCTGATTTTACTTCAGCCTATTTCCTCATCAGCATTGAATATCAACCTCAAGACGTTATTCTCTTCTGGTTTTGTCTTCCTCAGGAAGTAAAATATATATATATATGTATGTGTGTGTGTGTGTGTGTGTGTGTATGTATTTCAGCATTGAATATCAACCTCAAGACGTTATTCTCTTCTGGTTTTGTCTTCCTGAGGAAGTAAAATATATATATATATATGTATGTGTGTGTGTGTGTGTGTATACACATGTATATATGTGTGTGTGTGTGTGTGTACACACACACACACACACACACACACTAAGTGAGGGATCTCAGCAGCAAGAACTGTGTGTTTGAAGACTTATAAATAATGGAGGCTCCAAATTTCCTATATAGAAAAGGCATAGGGTATCAATCTCAGTGGAAACAGAAAGTAGATAAATGAAAGAGGAGGCTAGTAACCATTTTTTGAAACTGTATATGCCCAGTGGTTCACTCTTTATGTTCATTTGGAGTGGCATGTTTTGAAGCTGACTCTTTCTGATTCCAGGGTCCATAATATCCTGAGTACATATTTTGATTTCCTCTAATGTATCTAAATCGTAATCCAGATAATCTCTATCCCTTTTCTCTACATTATTTCTCTTTATAGTCACTTACTACTACTATATAATGCACATTCATTTTTTAAAAATAGTCTATATGTTGGCCTCCAGAATGTAAACTCCTTGAGGCTAAGGACTTTATTCATTTTGTTCATTGTCCTAATATATTGTGGTCAGGTTTCTTTTATCTTTTCTGTCTCTTTGTTCCAAATCAGTGATTTCATTTAACTTATATACAATTTCACTTTTAAAATTATTCTTCTGGGACAGTTTGCATCAGGGTATGATCAGATTCCACCGGCAAGATCAAAGGAAAAAATAAACTATTTCAAATTTTACCTAAATAAAAATAGCATTTAGCCATAACATAATTTTAAAGCTAATTCTGTTTTGAATTTGAAAAGCTTTACCAAGATATGCTTTGTTATAAAAGCAAGACTTGATAAATTCATTCTCAGCATAAATATTTCTTCATAATATCCTTAATAATTATTTTTTTATTTTATTAAATTTATTGAGGTGACATTGGTTAATAAAATTATATAGTTTTCAAGTGTATAGTTCTATAACATGTCATCTGTATATTGCATTGTGTGTTCACCACCCAAAAGACAAATCTTCTGTCATCATATATTCAACCCCTTTACCCTTATCTACCTCCCTTCCTCCCCCTTTCCTTCTGGTAACCATCATACTGTTGTCTATATTTATGAGTTTTTGTTTATCTTATTTTTTTTTTCAGTTTTTAATGTGTATATGTAATATATTATTTTACGTTTGTGGTTGTAACTACTTACTGAGGTTATAAATGATCAACAATCATTTATAACTTAAACTTCCAAGCTTGTAGCTTTCTTCAGATTAGAATTTTATATAGAGAGGTTTTATTCATGTGAATATAACAGCATTTGAATGAACCGTGGGAGAATTACAATGTAATGCTGCTGGATACAGAATGATTCCTTTAGACACCAAGACTAATAATTTT